TGAAGGACCTTTTTGGGGTGATAGAAATGTTCTAATTCTGGATTGTGGTGATGATTGCAAAATTCTGTAAATTTACTTTAAAAATCATTGAATGGGTGAGTCACTTAAAATGGGTGGATTTTATGTATATAAATAACACCTCAATAAATATGTTTTAAAAATGGACGGAAGGCTCCAGTCAGGATGGCAGAGCAGGTAAACACTGAGATTACCTTCTCTAACAACCACATCAAAATTACAATGAGACTACAGAACAACCACCATTTAGAATTGCCTGAAGTCTAGCTGAACAGAAGTTCTATAACTAAGAATATGCAGAATAGACCATGGAGCCTGGTAGGAGGGGTGGAGATACAGAACGGGCTGGTCCCGCACCTATGTGTGGTGGTTAAAAAATCAGGAGGGTTATCTCAGCTGTGGAGGTTCCCACCTGAGGACCAAGGTATCCCAGCCCCACACCAGGCTCCCCAGCCCAGGGTTCCAGTGGTGAGGAGAGAAATCCCCACAACTTCTGGCTGTGAAAACCAACAGAGATTGTGGCTGAGTGAGACAGAGGGTGGCTGGAGTCGCGGGCATTCCTCTTAAAGGCCCAGCACACAGACTTACTCACTGATGGACTCACTCGCTATGAGCTCCAGGGCTGGGGCAGCAGCCTGAAAGGCGCCAGGGACATACAAAGAACTAGATTGTTGCGCTTCAGGGTGAGAGCTGGAGCAGCAGTTTTCTCCCAGACAGAAGTGCTGGTACAAGCCATGATTTCTTTGTTGAGCCCTCCCCACTCCCAGAGTGCAGACATAGGCGGCCGCCATATCTGAGTTTCAATCAAACTGGCTAAATCAGTTCATTTGCTGGCCCTAGTGATTCTGAGATCCTGCCCCACCCAACTTGTGGGCCCACCCAAGCCACTTCCAGTGGCTTTTCCATACAAATGGCCTGCCTTGGCTCATGCCACAGATATTCCTAAAATTTCTCAAAGGTTCACAAACCCCAAACAAGCAGCATCTGAACCTCAGAGTGCCCTGTTCCCCTTGCTAAGCATCCCCAAGCCCAGCACTAGCAGCAGCTGGCCTCAGTTTGCAGCTTAGCCTCCCTCTCCCAGGTACTTTCAAGCTCAGCACAAGTGGCAACCATCTGCAGATCACTTTGTAGCTCATACCAAGTGGCCCCAGGTAGGGCACATTCAGTGGCTAAACTTGGCCTGCAACAGGGTCCCTCCCAAGAGGCCCTAGAACCAACACACCCGGTGGCCAGCTTCAGACCACACCAGAGCATCACCCAACCACCTGCACAAAGGGCAGACTGGGCAGGCATCAGAGCCCTGCTAAAGTGAATCCTGCTCCGTAGGGTCAGCCCCTAAACAATAGCTTCTCCAATGTAGTCACAGCCAGTCCTCACAACCAGTCAACCTGAGAACCAATCCCTCTTATTGATGTGCAAATATTAGGTCATTGGGAAAGTCATGAAGTATTTTTCTGTATTTCAATGCAAAAATGCGTCATGACTTTCCCAACGACCCAATAGCAACCAAAGCTCAATCACAATACGAGGGCACACAGTCTACACAAGGGACACCCCTGGAGCACCCAGCTCATGTGACCAGGGGACTATGCCACTGGGCCCCACAGGACACCTAGTACATAAAGCCACTCTACTAAGACCGGGAGACATAGTAGCCCTACCCAATACATAGAAACAAACACAGGGAGGCAGCCAAAATGGGGAGACAAAGAAACGTGTCTCAGGGCCGGCCAAGTGGCGCGATGGTTAAGAACTCGCTTGGGATGCCAGAGGACCCCGGTTCGGATCCCACATGTGAGGGCCAGTGACACTGCCCTCTACAGCAAAGACGCTGAACAACAGCTCAACCTGGAGCTGGG